GGTGGTCCATTGTAGTGATGAGTCATTTTTCTCTTGCTTTCAAATTTTCTCTTTGCTTTTTGGCATTCAGCAGTTTAAATATGATGTGTCTAGGTGGGGATCTCTTTGTATTTATCCTTCTAAGAATTTGTTGAGCTTCTTGGATGTATAGATTAATGATTTTCATCAAATTTGGGGAGTTTCTTGCCCTTACTTTTTGAAATATTTTTCTGTGCCTTTCTTTCCTCTCCTCTCTGGACTCCGATTACGCATATGTTGATGTGCTTGATGTTGTCCCCTGAATGTTGTTTCTGAGGTTCTCTTCCATTTTCTTCAGTTTCTTTTCTCTTTTTCAGATTGAATAACTTCTGTTGATCTATCTTCAGGCTCACTTCTTTCTTCTGCCATCTTGAATATGCTTCTGAGCCTCTCTAGTGAACTTTTCATTTGTTATTGTACACTTCAACCTCAGAATTTTTGCTTGGTTCTTTTTTATAATCTCTATCTCTATCAATTTTTTGGTTTTTTAAAAACATTCTTGTGTTTATTTTTAAGCTCAGCTTTCTAGGAGGTTGCCCTGTGTCTGCATAGCTTGGTGGTCAGCCAATAACTGGACAGAAGTTGTGCTCAGACACCTCAACCAGTCTGATTTCTGCCCTCGGCTTATGGATCTGTGTGTAGGTAGAGAATGAATTCAGTGTTTAGGCTGCTTTCAAGTCTGTCCTGGCTTTTGCTTTTTGCTGTACCCCTTTTAATTTCCTCTGCAGATGGATGCTGCCTCCGAGTTCGCCAGGAGTGTGTGAATGGCTTAAACTGTCTGGTCTCTGCTCTGCATGTGTGCAGCCTCTGATCAGCCAGAAATCGACTTGCTCCAACCACGATTGCACCCTCAGGCTAGTAGAGCCATCAGCCCTCCCTGCTTGGATAGCACCAAGATCATTACTTATATTGATAAAGCTAGTGGGCATGGGTATCACTCACCTCTCCAAACTGAGTGAATCCCCCTTTAACCAGAGCAACTTGCTGGTCCTCTTGTTCTGCTTTGCCCTGACAGAACCTCCACGGTGACTGAACTGGGGGAGTAACTAAGATAGGAGCCGCTCCAGGCAAGATTGCCACAGTCTCCCACTATTTCTACCCAAAGTTCAGCAGTTTTTCAAACATAAACACATCTCAGATTGTTGTATGTTTTTAGAGCACCAAAATTGTTTTGTCAATTTTTTTCAGCATTATAGTTGCTTTTTTTTTTTTTTTTTTGTGAGGAAGATCAGCCCTGAGCTAATATCCATGCCAGTCCTCCTCTTTTTGCTGAGGAAGACTGGCCCTGAGCTAATATCCATGCCAGTCCTCCTCTTTTTGCTGAGGAAGACTGGCCCTGAGCTAACATCCATGCCAGTCTTCCTCCAGTTATATATGGGACGCCACCTCAGCATGGCCTGACAAGCGGTGCGTCGGTGTGCACCCAGGCTCCGAACCTGGGCCGCCAGCAGTGGAGTGCGCACTTAACCGCTACGCCACGGGGCTGGCCCCTATAGTTGCTTTTTTCAGGAGAGGATTTGCTGACCTTACTTGGCTACAGCTGGAAGTACTCCCCAAAACATCTGAGAGTTTAGTTATGATTTGAGTAATTGACTTAGAGGAGAAGTTGGAACTTGGAGAAGATAAATACGTCAGTTGGAAAAAGGATTGCACTGCTGTCAAAACTGTCCAAGTAGCCCATTGCAAGCTGGTGATCCAATTGTTTGAAATGGTTACGACTGACAGTGGGAACTGGGGAATGGTGCTTCCCTCCTGTCTTCTGCCGGTAGTTCTGTATTTTCCTATGTTCTACTTTTTGCAAACTGTCCATTTATTCATTCACACTAACTTCCTTTAGTCTTCTGAGACTGGACTGTCATTGGTCACCTAACGGTCACAACAGTTCAACCTCCACAGCGTGCCATCTTAGTTTAGTCTTTACAGCAATGTTTATGCAGTTATTTAATGTTACGTCTAGTTAGGCAATGTGAGTGAGAACTGGAAAAATGAAAATCCCACACCTAATAAGAACTTATGTCCTTTGAATTAGAAACAAACATAGGAATCCATGGATCATTGAACTGAAGTCAATGATATGCTCACCTCTGAAGGATCAGAACTCAGAATAACATGGCATTAGTCTGGTTGTATGTAGAGGGGTGTATGGTAAAGAAAGCATGGACTCCTGAGAGCCTGGAGACTTATTGCTGACATATTGAATACCAAGTTTGCTTTTACCATCTCACATGAACTGAAAGCATCCAGTTATTAGACTGTAAAGTTTTGTTTCTTGCCGACACCTTCAGTGATTTCATCAAAAAATATCAGTTATGCTCACATGTCGTCACACTCTACATGTTTCATAACTATGCAGAAGTTCTTTTCTCAGGCAAATCAAAGTTTTCTTTTATGTGGGTGTTTCATGAAAAGGGGTAGACTGGTTGCTGCCACAAAAGATCAATTTCTCTAAAATTTCACTTTTATCAGATTTATGGCTTGACAATCAAACCTAGCCTTTTTATTGTTTTTCATAAACACAATGAATTAAAATACCAGTAACTTCTTTCAACTTCCCTAAAGGTGAATATCCTTACTTGGGCTGCTTTAGACTTGGCTTATTATAAAAACAATTTTTTTTAGAATGGAGGAAAACAAAGTACTTGGGTGATAAATGTATTCTCAAACCTAGAAGCCATAAATTGAGAACTAATTTGTAGTTGTTAGGTTTCCTTGTGAATAAGAAAATGTTTTTCTTTCTTTGCTAGGGTTTCCTAACTGATTTCTGCCACCTAGACTATTACAACCCTGTATCGAGCAATTAAACTGGTAGATGGGTTGCAGTCTTAAAATATTTCACCTCTGAGGCACCTTGGCTAATGTACACATTGATAACTTTCGAGTGGAGAAACCTGGCAGACAGCGCCCTACTCAGGCGAACAGTTAACTTCATCAGTGAGAGGCCGCACTGAGAATATGCACCACCTGAGGGGCTGCAGTGTGACAAGCACAGCATCATTTCAGTGATATTCCTGCTAAAAATGTGTGACATGAATCTGATGACAAGGAAACACCAGACAAATCTCAGTGCAATCCTCAAAAGTATTAAGGTCGTAAAGGTCAAGAGAGTACTGAAGAATTGTGTCGGATTGAAGGAAACTGAAGAAAAGTACAATATGTGCTCCTGGATTGGATCCTTTTGCTAGGAAGGACATAATTGAGACAGGTGGTGAAATCTAAATGGAATCTCTGAGTAAAGGGTGTATGGGAGTTTTTTGTACTGTTCTTGCAACTTTTCTATAAGGTTGAAATTATTTTTTTAAAAAACATGAAAGTGTCACCCCCATTTTGCTGACTTAAATTTTTTTTAATTGCAAAAGGAAGATGCTTGTCTTTGACAATTCAAACAATATCAATAAAGTAAAAAGTGGAAGTCCTCCTTTCCCCTCCAAATTCTATTTCCCAGAGGATACCATTGTTAATAATTTGATTTGCCCTTCTAGACTTTATTAATATACATAAATTTTTGTTTTGTTTTACAAAAGCAGGATGCTGTATGTATGATTAGACCTCATATTTTTTAATGAGCACATAGTATTCCATTGTATGGATTATCATTTATCCATTCCTGTATTGATGGCATTAGGTAGTTTTTAATTTTTCATTATTACCAATTAGATTGCAATGAACATGCTCGTCTGAATGTTTGTGTTTACATATTTGTGCTAGTATTTCTATAAAACAGATTTCTGGAAGTGGAATTGCTAGGTCATGAGTTTTGCAAGTTTGCCAATATTGATAGATTTTGCCAAATTTCTCTCCAAAAAAGTTGTATTAATCTACATTGCTTCTAATGGTGATTAAGTAAAAATTATCCTTTTACTAACACCGTATGTTACGAATCTTAGATTTTTCCCTCTCTGAAAGGAAAAACCGGGGACTTTTTTTGCAGTATGCTGCCAGGAGAACGTACATTGGGCTTCTTATTGAAGGGCTTGTGTTCTAGATCTGGAACTTTCTAGCACTGTTACTTTCTCCAGCCAGTGACCTCTTGTTTTTAATGAGGATTCCATCACCTCATTACAGGTCGTAAGGGTCAGATGAAATAATCCATCCAAACATACTTCTGGCAATCATTGTAATAAAATGAGAATGAGCCATTAAGGAGGAGAATCCTGGCAAGATGATAATAGGATAAGAAATTCAGTTGTCCAGTGGGTCTTAGAAGAAGGAAGTGTGACGGAAGCACAAATTATTCAGGCCTCTAAACAGTGATGTGTTGAGACCTCCCCAACCTGCTCCAAACCTAGCAGGGAAGAGAACAGGACTGCAGCTCCAGCCTCCAGCGTTTGTTGCTCAGTGCTCTGGCTGGCTTGAGCATGTGTTGTCCACCCTTTCAGGCCCTTCCCCACAGCCACAGGGAGGGCCTGAGGAAAGAGAACTTGACTAGCGGCCAGCTTTAGTTCTAGTGCTGCAGACATTTACTCACCTTCCAGATAATGAAAGTCTAATCCCTTTGCCCTATAGGTGAGAAAACTGAGGCCAAGTGGGATTAGATTGTTTGTCCACGGAGGAAATGCCAGGAGTAAAGTTAGTGCTTAGGGCTCCCAGCTCCGTCACGGTGCTATACTACATCATGGAATTGTTACTGTTAGTCTGGTCTCCCCCAGAGAGGCTGTGATATCCCCAAGGGAACATAGTACATCTTTAGACATTACCTCCTGAATTCCTTAAAAGACCCAGCAGAGAACTGTGTACACAATAGGTACTCAGAAAACCCATGCTGAAGTGAATTAAAAAATAAACACGATCATTGGTTTATTGTTGTTGCTAAGAAAGAGGAAGTATGGGAAGCTCAATAGGCTGCCAAAAGCTTTCCTCTAGGAAGATGCTGGGGCTCGTACTGGAGAGGATAGTAGATTCCAGAACATACTATATACTTAGTCCATTTCCCAGAGGTCCATGCCTGACAAATTTAAAGATCAGTGAAGAAACTGGGAGTCTTCTGAAGGTGCAGATTTTGGTTTTATTTCAACTGATTGCTAGTATATAATAGTATAAGAAACATTACTTTAAAAACCACCAACCCAAACCCACCACCAATGATTCAAGAAATTGTTCAAGAAAGGAGGGAGCCCCAGCCTCAGTTATATAACACAACATTGCTCTGCGTGGGATGTGCAATCCTCAGGTAAGGCCCTCTCCTCACACTAACGCAGCTTCTGCTTCCAATGGCTTCCTTTCTTCCCACGCTTTGGCTGGTTGGGCTTTCTCAAATCCCAATCCCAAAGGCAGAGAATCAAAATTATAGATTCTTTCTGGATATTTTGATCTTGCGCTTTAAGTCACTCCACCTCTAAGGCTCAGAGACAGTTAAACTTCGACCGATGCTTCTTATAAAAATCAATCTGGGAAGAAAGGCTGGCTCTAGCAGAGTAAAGGTGAGACCCTCCTTTGCCCATCAGCGACTCGAGGAATGCTCTGGCAGACTGAAGTGGAAGCAAAGAAGGGGACTTGAATTCGCATGACCTAACCTCAAATCCTGGCTAAAATTTTTCCTAGCAGTGTGCCTTTAGGTGTGTCATTTACCCTCTCTAAGCCTCAGCTCCCTCACTTCTCAATCATCTACTGCCTTGTCAAGGCAGAGAGGTCCATTGCCAGCATGTTGAATGGGGTAATGTGACCTTTAAAAACTCCAAAGTGTTACACAAGGGCAAAGTGGTTTGAGGTAGAGGAGGAGGAAAAAGAAAAGGAATGAGAGTGGGATCAAAGAAAGGAGTGTGAAAAGTAGAAAAGAAAGAGGCAGGTGGAGAGGTGGAGCCAACACAACCCCAGGGGCCCAGATACCACTTCTGGGCTAGGGTCAGGGCTTAGATGATGACATTGGTGGCTGGGTCCTCTTAACTACACAGAGAATAAAAACAGAGCTGGTGATTAGATCCAGCCTGGAGCCAGTCACTGGAAAAGGAAGTCAGTATTCAGATTGATTATCATGACAGCTACCATTTGTACGATTTTAATTCATAGGATCACTTTTAAAGCCTCTAAATCTTCATCTCATTTCTGGACAGGAGACAGGCTGCTGAAGAGCCTCCCAGCCTGGCCCTGGAGCAGGTCATTTCTTTACACTTCCATAAGCCACAGAAAACTTAAACCAAGTGGTGTGGTCATACTCCTCACCAGGCCTCAGCAGCACAGAAGGGAAGTGGGGCTGTGAAGGGGAAAACAATACAGGTTACACCTTGTCAGCCCAGGGGTGCCCCCTTAACAATTCACAGTGGCTCTGGACTGGTCTTTAGATCAGCTCTGTGAACTAGTTGCCAATGTAAAAAAACTGTTTATTTTGGGTTTGCAATGAGATAAAGAACTTGAGCCAGAATGAAAATCCACTGCATCACTAAGCACAGTTTGTCATAGCAAAACTTTCTTGATGAAGGAAGCAGTGTGTTGATTTACATTCCGGTGCAAGCTGCAAGCGTCTGAGGGCCTGGCGCTGTGAGGAGATTACTCTAGGCAATAGCTAGAAAAGAAAGTTATGAGGAAGCAAATAGGAAGAGAAGATATGGAGGATCATCTTAAAAGTGTGGTTGCAGAAAATGAGTAAGTATTGATAAGGAGAAATATTAAACTGAATAAAGGCTTTGAAGGTACAAAATATGAGATTTTTATATGTAAATGCCATGTTAGTAACTTGGGTGTTTCCTGGGTGTATCATGACTTGGAGAAGAGAACACATACAGACTTTTGAATCACACAGACCTGACTTGAGTGTTGTGACCTCTGAATACAATGTGACCTTGGACACAACACCACTCTGACAGGCCGGCTTGTGGCTTTACCTGATTGACTGCATCAGGCCAGTTTTGGGTCTCGAGGCAGAAACCGGAGTGCTTGGGATAGACTGCTCCACTCTTGCCCTTCAGAGTGCCATCCAGGAAGTTGCCCGTGTAAAACTGGACCCCAGGCTGGGTGGTGTATACTTCCAGTACCCGCCCACTTCCAGCATGACGGACCCTGGGGATAAAGCCAAACCACATGTAAGTCCAGGGCAGAAAAGCAGGCAGGGACAGGTGGAAGCTGGGAAGCAGCTTTGAGACAAGAATCAGACCCAGCCACAGAGCATGGACAAGACATATGGAGGAGACAAAGGAAGAGCATGATGGGAAATTCTCACAGCCTCATAGGTGAGGCATGAGCAGGTGGTAATGAGGATCCTCAATAGCAACTTCTCACTCTGATCTTGGCTTCCTTGGGGAAGAGCAAACCAGACTCACCCCAGAGTGGACGGGCTAGGATTCTTTCTCATAAAGAGTTGGAGCACGGGGCCGGCCCCATGGCGTAGCAGTTAAGTGCGTGCGCTCTGCTGCTGGTGGCCCGGGTTTGGATCCCGGCCGCGCACTGACGCACCACTTGTCAGGCCATGCTGTGGCGGTGTCCCATATAAAGTGGAGGAAGATAGGCACAGATGTTAGCCCAGGGCCAGTCTTCCTCAGCAAAAAGAGGAGGATTGGCATGGATGCTAGCACAGGGCTGATCTTCCTCACAAAAAAAAAAAAGTTGGAGCTCTCTGCTTGGCCTGGTGAAACAACCAGCTATTATGTCTTTTGAATGAGAAGAGATGCTTTTCTAAATAAAACTGCCCCCGTCTCTGGGGATAGAGTAGGCTTTGCTCTTTAATCAGATCTCCTCCTAGAACAGATCTGCTGTGGGCTTCTGCTACATTCACCATTTCTTTTTTTTTTTTTTTAAAACTGGGCCTCTACAGAGGTGAGAGTACCTACCTGGTCCTGTACTTGGTGTCAAAGGAATATAGATAAAGAAAGGCCTGGGTCTTATAGTCTTACCAAGAGATAAAACATCCCCACAGTGTATAGTCAACCAAGAGGTTTAGGGAAAGCTGTTTGGGAAGAGGAGGGCTAGGATTTGATAGTGGAGACAAGGCAGGGGGGTCCCCTCTGGTGGGGCACCAGGGAGAGAAATGTGAATCATAGGCAGAGGAGAAAAGCGGGCTCCAGCTGGAGGATCACAGCTGGGGCCGTGGTGCTGGGGCTCTGAGGGAGAGAAGGCTTTTGAAGTTCTGTTTCTATTACAGTTTGAATCATTTTCTCTGCTTTATTTAAAATCCGTTCATTCTACAAACATTTATGGATTATTTGCTAGTGCGAAGCATGATATTGGGTGTTAGGGTAGAGGTAGAGATACACAAGGATGAGATGGCATGAGGAACTCGGAATTCAGTGAGAAGGAGAGAGCCTGCACACGAACGCCTGTCAGACAGCCTGGAGGTGGTGGGCGCTGTGAGAGAAGCGCAGCCTCTGACTTTCCACGGAAGTAGGCAGGGCATCAATCACCAACTGAGAAGTACAAAGGGCTCTGGAAGGTCAAGGAAGGCAGGAGTGACTTCAGTCAGGAGGAATTAGGGTTTCTAAAAACAACGGAGGTCTTAAAGAGCAGGCAGAGATGGGGAAAGAGGGAGCAAAGAGAGATGCAGTGCCACGTAGGGACAGAGGAATAATGGCATGGTGCGAGAGGGGAGAGAAATTCTACAGAGTTCACCTGTGGGATACGAGATTTGAAGACATAGGACGTGGTATTGATCCCTGTGGCACAGTAAATGGTATTCATATGGCCAGAGGAGAAGCTCCTCAAATAGGAATTGATATCTCTTCTTCCCTACAGAGGCAGTAAGTGAAAAGTACCTACCGGGCACAAAAATGCTTTTCTTTAGATCCCTTCAGACAGAAATTGTGGTCAAAGCCATTGATGTGGAACTTCTGCAGGTGTTTTCCAAGCTCCACTGGCTTCCTCAGGTCAAATGCAGTTCCTTGCACTGGAGCAACTTCTCCTGGTGGGAAGAGACAGAAAAAAGGGTGATAAATGCCCAAATCAAATCTTTCTATAAGTATCCTAAAGACCCACTGGTTCTACCCTCTCAGCCTTCATTTCAATTTGGAAGGGAGATAGGAGCCCAGATCCTAAGAAGGAGAATGAATTATTGGATTTCCTTAATTGTAAGATGGTACTGATTGCAAAATGCAGTAGCTATAACATTCAGAATCATTCAAGTGTGAAAAAACTACAAAAATCAAGGAAACCCATAATTTCCATTAAGGGCTAAGTTGGACAAAGGGTGATGGTTGTCCTAACCATTGAGTCAATCACCTTGTTGACATTTCTTGCTTTAGTGCTGAAACATCCCAGGGTTCATAACCAAGCATTAGCACCTGGCAGTGGCTAACCAGACACTAAAAATGTCCCTGAGATTAGTGATTCTCAAACCATTTGGGGTCATTATTAGCCAAAGAGACACTGGCAACCACCTTTCCCCAATCACTTCCCTGATCAGCCTGTAGACACACTCTAAACTGTAGCGGGCACTATTAATAACAACACTGGGACAAATGAGTTAACTGGGACAGTCCAGGGCAAACTGGGATGTATGGGCACTCTACTATTTGCCGATTTTAGATTCAATCCTTTGAATGAAAGCTTTGTGTCTCCAGGAGTGATTGATTCCTGGAGAAGTTGTAGTCGGCGAGCACTGCCTCCTTCCTGTGTGTAAGCCAGATTCCTCAAGTTCTAAGAGCTGCACATTTGTTCTTATCATCCTGAAGCCTCTTCACAATGATGTGGGTGGGTGGTCAGTCGTGAGGGAGGATACTGCACTGTGGGGACGCTCAACTCTTAATGGGCAAAGCACAGAGGAAACTGGACAGGAGCCCTGTCTTGGTGGTCATCACACAACCAATGCTCAGTTAAGAACATTCCTTCGTGGTGTTGCAGAACTCAAGGGTGTTGGGGCCAGAAAGGTTCTCAGAGCTCATCTGGTCCAAACTACTCATGTAACAGATGAGGAAACTGAGACCCACATAACTTGATATCATCAAACAACAACCTATGATATTGATATATATCATATTTCATCAATTTAAGACACTCATTTTTGTATTTTAAAATCTCTGAAAGCATGTCATGGTCTAACTGGCAGAGGTTTTTTTCCTTCAAGGTATGTAAAATAAGGGTAGAGTTTACAATTGATGGCATCTTAGAGTTGATAAAATCTGTAATAGTTTGCCACATCCTCTGCTCTACTAAAACCACTGAACAAGTAATCAGAGCTTTGAGGGTGAAAAAAGAGGAATCCGGATTATTTTGTGAGTCATTTCAACTGAAGATCCAAGAGAGAGAGAATTTCTCAACAGACAGTCCTCTACATATGTTTGCCAACAGGCTGTAATATGGGTTTTACATTCTTCTGAAAATAGTGTCATTTTGCTTTGTCACCTTTCGTTCTCTTCCTAACTTTCAGGTCTGTTCTTCCCTAGATGCTAGGCCGAGCCATTTCAAACAGGGTACACAAAAATTTTGAATTTAGCTCAGTTAAGAAAGGCCAGATAACATAAGGAAGCCCACAGAGCAAACTTGTTACTTTATAGCACTGTGTCAGAGCCAGAGCAATGGACTAGGAGCCATTCTCTCAGTCACTCTTTTTCTCCATCAACACTTTAATTAAACATCTACTATATGCCAGGTATTCTGATGGGCAGGGACGCTACATAGATGAATGAGACATGGGACCTGCCTTCTTAAGCTGCTGGAAGTCTGGAGAAGGGAGCAGACATATAAATAGCTCATAATCATAGAGTGTGAAGAATGCTCCAGTAGAGGCATAGCTGTAAGAAAGAAGACAGGAGTGTGACTGGGTTGGCTTGGATGTGGCATACTGGGGAGATTTCATGGATGAAATTATAGTGATTAAGCTGAGGCTTGAGGTGAGATCCTATTAGGTTGAATGGATGAGGAAGGTTGAGGAATATTCAATGTGGAGGAAACACAGCTTGAGCACAAGGTGATAGGGTGAATGTGTGTGTGTGTGTGTGTGCGTGTAGTAGGGCAGAAGGCCTCAGATGAGGAAAGAAAGAGATTAAGGAAGGTTAGATCACTTCTCTGAGCCTGGGTGTTTCATCAGTACAATGAAGAAGTTGGACTAAATCACTGACTTTCAACCTCCATCCCCTTCCTGCAGAATTCTTTATTTCAGAGGGAATCTTTGGAGGAAGCTCAATACACACACACACCTCCACACACATCCACAAAATACATATACATACAGCATAAAATACACATATATAAAAGCCAGAATGAAGCCAGTGCAGGCTCTGAGCAGCTTAGTTGGAAAACCCCAGGAACAGATGAGAGCAGAGGAGCACCTCGACCCACCTAAACGTATGGGCCACCTAGGAGTGAAGAGTCCCCTGTTCCGAGATCTTGCACCCACTACAAAGACTCCCAGGTTCCCCTGCAGCAGGCGGGAACACTCTGGCTATTCTTTCTTGAGGGGAAAAAAGGAAAGGGACTCTTTCAGAACCTTACACGATGATACAGTTTAGTCCCTTTAAAAGTTATTGTTCCAGAACCATATCATATATTTTAAAGGTAAATACAAACGTTAGGTAGTTAACATACTCTTTTATGGTGAGAATTGCTTTTTCTTTTCATGAGGTCAGATGGAAATGTTTTAGGAACTTGGTTTCTACTCTTTTTAGGGGAGAAATAACAGCATGCAAAGTGGGGCTGAAATCTTAGGAGGCTAAGAAAAATCAGGAACTTGTACTTTACCATTAAAATAATTTAATAAGTGAAAGGAGAACTGACTTTTAGCCATGTAAAGCATTTGGTTCTGCTTTTTTTTTTTTTAATTTACTTAGTTTTTTTTTTTTTGGCGAGGAAAATCAGCCCTGAGCTAACATCCATGCTAGTCCTCCTCTTTTTGCTGAGGAAGACCGGCTCTGAGCTAACATCTATTGCCAATCCTCCTCCTTTTTTTCCCCAAAGCCCCAGCAGATAGTCGTACGTCATAGTTGCACATCCTTCTAGTTGCTGTATGTGGGACGCGGCCACAGTGTGGCCGGAGAAGCGGTGCGTCGGTGTGCGCCCAGGATCCGAACCCGGGCTGCCAGTAGCAGAGCACGCCCACTTAACCGCTAAGCCACGGGGCCGGCCCTGGTTCTGCTTTTGTGGGTTCCTAAAACCTGAGAGGAAACAAGAATGTCCTATCTTTGGGTGAAAGAGGTCATCCTTTTCTTCAAGTCAAGAGCTGCTTGTTCAGAATTGCAGTCAGTCTTTCTGGCACGTGAGGACTGGGGTCTCTGAGTTCAGACAGAGCTTCGAGAGTGCCTGGGGCCCAGAGCACTTGAAGGAGACACTGAGGCCTGGCCGATCTCATCCTAGAGTCCTGTGTCTACTGTTAAACCACGAAAATTTGGGAAGCACACAAAAGAATCATTCTTGTTTACTAGAGTCAGCTTCAGGAAAAATTAAGTAACATTCTTTTTGACAACAGCCTTTAAAAGCATCTATTTTCTTTGCCTTAGTTCTACTTTTACACAAAAGAATTTTTGAATAGGTAATATTTGCACATGTAATGAATTTAAAAGGTAACAAAGATAAAAGGTATGAAATACTATATAGTGAAAAGAATTTCTCTCAGCCTTGTTCCCCACAGATCAGTTTCCTTTAACAGCAGCAACCACTGCTACTGGTTTCTCATGCACCCTTCCAGAAATATTACAAGGATAGCCAAGGATCTGAATGCACACCCCCCCCACACACAAATATGTGGCCTGTTTCCACCTTGACCTTTTCATTCAATTTATCTTGAAGGTTGTTGCTAAATTTATTCCTAGGTATTTCATAAGACAACTCTATATGCGCTCATATTTTTCTCTATTTTTTCTATGATAACCTATTTAAAATTTCTTTTTGGAGGTCACAATTGCAAACATTTTTATTTTCCTAGAAAATTATCCATTTCATCTATATTACTCTCATATTTATTTGTAGAGAGTCAAGGAAAGAAATAATTTATGATCCCTTCAATTTCATCTGTCTGTGGTTATTTGCCTATGCTCATTTCTAATTTTGTGTATTTAACAGGTTAGCTAATGCTTTATCTATTTTACTGGGTTTTTTTTTTTCCTCCAATGAAGCAGCTCTTGGATTTATTTATTAATACTACCTTGGCTCCTCTTTTCAAAATCATAATTTCTGCTTTTATTTTTATTACTTTTTCTTCTGTTGTCTTGGGTTTATTTTGTTATTCTTTTTCAGATATCTTGCATTAGATGCCTAATTCATTTATTTTCACTTTTTTTGATTAATATAAGTATTTAGTGCTAAAATTTTCTTCTGAACAATAATTTATATGATATGTAGGAGTTTCCATTATATGTAATTACAATATTTCCATTTATTATATATTCCAATATATATTATGTATATATTCCCATTATATAGACTATAATTATATTATTTAGTTATTTTCTAGATATTCCTAGTTTTGAGGTTTGATTTCCTTTTGGATCCAAGAATTACTGCGAGTTAAAACATTTTTAGTCAATATTGGCTGTATTACTTATATTTTGTGAAACTGCCTGAGGTTTTCTTTATGGTCTTAGATATGGTCATTTTTTTTTGTGAACCTCCATTATGAATTGCATCCTTTATCATTATAAAGTGTCTTCCTTTCTGTAATTCTATACGTTCTGTCCCGAAATCAGCCTTTACTGATGTTAAAATTGAGACCTCCTGGGGCCGGCCCCATGGCCTAGTGGTTAAGTTTGGTGTGCTCCGCTTCAGTAACCCGAGTTCGCGGGTTCGGATCCCTGGCACGGACCTACACCACTTGTCAGCCATGCTGTGGCAGCAACCCACATACAACATAGAGGAAGACTGGCACAGATGTTAGCTCAGAGCTAATTTTCCTCAAGCAAAAAAAAAAGAGGAAGATTGGCAACAGATATTAGCTCAGTGTGAATCTTCCTCAAGCAAAAAGAGGAAGATTGGCAACAGATATTAGCTCAGTGTGAATCTTCCTCAGCAAAAAAA